AAACATAAAATTTATGACTTTCAAAATAGATTGCACAGGATAAGCTATGGTTGCTATAGTAGCCTTAGCTAATGCAAGGTTCGTCATGCTAAAGTTTATATGTTTATATATATGTTTTCTGAGGTTTTCGCGGGTGTTAGTATGTAGGTCTTTGGTTATTCAGGTTTTCTCCCGCGTAAAATTGGAGGTGTCTTGGCGACGTTTCGACGAAGTCTCATGCGTCATCTTCAGGCTTCGTGCTTTCAGGAGCAATGTGAGATCTCGGCTGTTTCTTCCTTTTAACTGCCAGTGGGGATTTGAGCTGATTGGGTGGGAGCTTGGCTGTGTTCTGATTGGTTGGGGGTTTGTGTCTCATGTAAGGATAGGAGGGGTTTGAAGAGGCTAATGGTGCAGTTGCAGTCTGGCTTCTGGTCCTTGGTTGTGCCTCCTCATCAGTGTGGGTTTTTGTCTGCTTTCTTTGTGGATGTTTGGTGGTGACATCCCGTGTGGCTCTTGTGAGTGTGGGCACTCCTGGAAGCACGAAGCCTGAAGATGACGAATGAGACTTTGTCGAAACGTCGCCAAGACACCTCCAATTTTACGCGGGAGAAAACCCAAATAACCAAAGACACACACACACACACACACACATACATATAATCAATTTTTATAATTCTAATCAGAGGTAGGTTTCAGGGGATCCAGTAAGCATGTACCAATGCCAGGAATGGTCCCTCCCCTGACCTCCTCCCTCCGCTCACTCCGCTTGCCTGCTCGGTTGCCGCTCACTCGCTCTCTTGCCCTGCCTGCCTACACCATGCTTGCCCCGCCCAACCGGCAGGGCTGCAGCTGGCGGGCCGAAGGGGCATCGGTTGCGAGCGGCAAGTGAAGTGAAGTGCCGGCCAGCATCCCTGCCTAAAAGCAAAAGCCTTTGGAAACTGCGGCTGCCCCTCCCCCTCCCTTTTGCAGAAACTCCTCTAGCTGCAAAATTGGGATTTGCTCCGTCTTTCCTGGCTTTCAGCTCCTCTCGTCCGATTGTCTTCTCCTGCCCTCCTCCCCCCCCTGCACAGTCTCAATTGCTGCTTGGAGGGGGGGGGGATTTCTGGTTTTACGGGGCTGAGAGGAAAAGGGGGAAGGAGGAACAGGCCCTCCAAGGCTACTCCCCACTTGGCGTTTCTGCAACCAAATTCTCCCCCCAAACAGAGGAAACCCCCCCCACCTGGATACTGCAGGGCAGAGCAGGCTGGACCCATAACTGGGCAGCGTGTGGAGAGGCTGCCGCAGTTCTGTTCCGAACGGAGGGAGAGGGGAAAAGTTGGGATTCTCTGCTGCAGCCCTTAACCTTGAATGCTTGAATGGCAGAGAACCTGAACTCCCCCCCCCAACTCCATTCACAGAGGAACTGCTGCTCCCTTTATGCCCCCCCCCCAGCCCCCTCCCTCCCGGGGGTCGAAGTAGTACCTGAAAGGGACAGGCCGGCTGCCACAGCTCCTCTGAGAAGACCTTTCTGAGAAGAGAAACCGCTCCGGTCCGGCTGCACCCGAGCTGGTGGAGCGCCCGCAGCCACCCGCCCGTCGCCAGGGAGGCAGCCAGTGCAGGTGAGCCGTGCGGTTCTTCTGAGCGGGCGGGCGCTCCACCAGCTTGGGTGCAGCCTATTGTATTCGCTCTTTTGGCTGCTGCCACACACTGCTGGCTCCTGTTTCAGTGGCCGCCCACTAGGATTCCAAGGTCCCTTTGGGAGTTGCACTAAACTGGCAGGAATAGCCAAATTCCCCAGGAGGCAAACTCAGGATTTCAAAAAGATCTTGACACGCTTGGACAATGGGCCTTATCCAACAAAATGAATTTTTATGCTCAAAGGGGAAAAAAGACAATATTTCCAAGCTTCCAAGTGTCAGTGTTACTTCTTTTCCTCTACTTTTGGATGCCTAAGTGGAATTATTGATCATGCTATTTGCAATAAGCATGTTTATGCACCTGATAAGCTCTGATTAAGACAAGAGTGCCCTTTTTCCCCACAGTAACACATTTATGCATGTTGGCTCTCAACTATCCACTATGTAGTATATGCAGTTTTGCCCTTTGTGTTAATATTCTCTCTAGAGTACAGGTGTCCAATATAACTGTTCATATATGTCTCATCTTTATCCTTAACCTTTCACATAGTGGTGGCCATCACCATGAAGAATGCCAATGCCTCACTGGTATATTCCTTTCTCTATAAAGTGGTTGAGGTACGTAGCCTTTTTCAAACATTCAGCACACCAAGGAAAAAATATTCTCCCATACTTCAGAAGGAAAAAGGAAGTGGCCATTCTTTAACTCAAAGGGGCTTTTTCAAGAGGCAACTAGACTTTCTGGTTTTTCCTTGAAGACGTTTCACTTCTCATCCAAGAAGCTTCTTCAGCTCTGACTGGATGTTGGGGAATGGAAGGATTGATACTCCTTGAAGACAGATAATCATTTGCATTCTTTTAGCCAGTCATTTAAGTCAATTGGAGGTTTATTTGAGTGGTGCAAATGGGTGTGGAGCATTTTTGGAGCTGTTGAACGGACTGTGTTGTAGACTGGAGATAGATGATGTCATATCCCCCCCACTCTGTTGAGAGAGAGAGAGAGAGCTGATCAATTTTGACATAGATGGGCTCTTTGACCCCTCTTTCAAACCAGTAATTCTCTCTGTCCAAAAATGTGAACTTTGCTGTCTTCAAAAGGGTGTCCTTTGTCTTTAAAATGCAGGTGGACTGCTGGATCTAGTCCAGGTGGGTTGATTCTCCTACGTTGTGCCATGCGTTTATGAGGTGGTTGTTTTGTTTCCCCAATGTACGGATCTGCACATGGCTCACTGCATTGTACTGCATGTACCACATGGCTCAGTTTGTTTCTGGGTGTTTTATCCTTGGGGTGGACAGATTTCTGCCTTAGTGTTCCTTGGGTTTGAAGTCTGCAGGTATGTTACTTTGGCTGAAGGTCCTCCAGAGCTTTCCCAATATTCCCGCAACGTACGGAATGACAACGTTGCTTTGTCTATTGTTCTCTTCATTGTCCCTTATTGTTCCTGTGGGGCCTTTCTGGAGATTTGATGAAGGCCCACTTGGGGTAGCCACACGTTCTGAGGAGCTCCTGTGGGGTCTTTTTTTGAGAAGCTCCTCCATAACAGACAACGAAGAAAACAATCAACGAAGCAACATTATTATGAATATTATCTTCAAAGAAAATCCAGAAAGTCCAGTTGCCTCTTGAAAAAACACCTTTGGGACTGCCATGACCTGGGTGGCTGTGAGTCTCCATAGACATTTGCAATTCCTTAACTTTTTGTTGCATTTTCCTGTTTATTCCACTTCTGAATTCTATCCAAATCTGAGAAAATAAATCTGAGGTTATTTACATGCACATTCAATTATTGTTTGCCCATAATCGCACAGGATGACCTTATAGAAAGGTTTCTGTGTGGAGAAGGTGATCCTTCATTGATTGGGAACTGCCCAGTTGGTTATAAAACAAACAACTATATAAATGTATGAAATAACTGTAAATAAATATGTGTCAGCTGTCCCAATTTAATCAGTTAGAAAAGAAAGACTCAAGAATCCATTTTTATGAAAAGTACAGCCAAGTGGTGACAGTGTAGCAAAGCCAGATCTAAACTTTCACATCCGTGGCATCTGGTTAACTATTCTCTTCCTCCCCACTTCCCCACCCCCCACACCCTGCTTATCTCTGGGCAATTACATTCAAGCAAACTGTTTTGGTCCCTGGCTTGAAAGGCTGGAAGGTGTTTCATTCCATGAGGAGACCTTGGAATGGCCAGTGGCTCTCATGGAATGTCAAGATGAGGAGTTTCGATCCCCCTTGTGCTAGCCCCACACCTTATTCCACCCCACATTTCCCTCTCCTGTTGCATATGGCAGACTGGCATCTGATGAAGCATGGCTGGCGCAGCAGCATGGCAGTCCTGACAATATGATAGAATCTATTTCAAAGATTAGCACCAAGGATCTGTATAAACTTAAATTAGCAGTTGAGCCCACAGCAAATGACATTTTCATTCACTTACTCCATTTAATACTTGTCAATGATTTACAAGAGATATTTTAGACCAGTGGTAATTTTGAAGACCTCTTCAGAGGAAGATGTATCAGAACATGAATAACAGCTGATTAGCTAGAACAGTGAAGAGTGAGGAGCCTACAACTAAAGCAATTTATCCTTCAAAACGATTCTGTTTTTCTTTCAGCAACCTTCGTTCTAGTGAGGATTTTCAGTTTTCTTTCACATCTCCGTGTACTTTGTTTACTTCTAGTACAAAACCATAGCAGAACACCCTATGCATAGAGAAGCAGCCCACAGGTGGGCTCCTACCGGTTCGCACCAGTTCAGTGGAACCAGTAGTGGAAATGGTGACTGGGTCACCGGTGGGGATGGCATCCTCGCCACGTCCCCGAACTGGTTCCCCGGTCATTGCAACATTTTTTTTTTGACCTTTCAAAATATTCTGCACATGCACAGACCTATCCATAGCCAACTGCATGCACCGAACCGGCAGTAATGCCAGGAGAAACACCCCCCCCCCTGAAGCAGCCATAGTGGAATTGGAACACTCCATTTGATGGATGTTCTGAATAAGAAAATATTTTAACAGAAGTTTGGGGAAGATTGCTTGCAGGACCTAAGAATAGGTTGAAGGGTGGTTACTTCACCCAACTTTATACTTAGCCTCTTTTATAGTCTCCTCCCTACCCCTGCGAATAGTTTGACCTGAGTCCCTACCTGTTGTCTTTTCCAAGTTCCATATGTGCACAAAACTGGACATTCCAGAAGAGACACTTGGCCCAAGCAATACGAATTCTGGAAACTTCACTACAGGGTAATAATAGCTTCAATTCTTTAGTATGAAATCCATTCTCTCCTTGCCAGGTTTTTTCTGAATACTTCAAGGAGCTGGAGGAAGAGAGCATCCGTGACAACTTTGTCATTGTGTATGAGCTACTGGATGAGCTGATGGACTTCGGGTTTCCTCAGACGACAGATAGTAAAATTTTGCAGGAGTAAGTAATCCGTTTACTTCTTCTTCTAGGATCTGGATCTGTTTTTCTGCTGCTGTTCAGGATTTTAAAAACTGTAAATGTTGCAATGAAACAAAATTCCAAGATGCGTACAATTTTAGGTTTTTAGTTTAGATGTTCATACTTACCAGTGCATTTTTCAAAGATCACATAAAGGGACTCTTACATGACATCTGCCAGACTTTCAAATTTAAAATTAGTTTTATCCTGGAGACAAACTTTTTTTCATCACTATCTTTTTTGGGTTACTACACTCTAGCTTTGCCAATAGTTCCACTTAGGTGGAACAGAGATCCCCCCTCCCCCCTTGGGAGCAACACTGAAGCAAAACAGTTGAGTAGTTCTTGGCTCCTCTTGGCAGGAGGCCCACTTCTTTGCAATTGTTCTTTTTACTGTTACCATCATTTAAAAAAAATGTTATTGCTTTTAACGTTCCTTATGGTCCTAAATGCATGTTTTGCGCTAAGCTTTCTGTCTTTCTGCAGATATTAATGGCTTCTTGGTATCCCTCCTGGGTGATTACGCCCTATTCAATTTCCTGTAACTCTGAGTTCAGCCAAAACTCCCTATGCATCCACAATGATGTCTGCTTTGTTTTGTTAACGTTGGGGGTGGAACATTATGAAATTGAACTTCTGGTATCTTATTTTCAATAAGTTCCCAATCCTCCTGTTCCTCCTTTGACTTAATTCATTCCCATTTCTGTCCATGGGGTCCCGTCTTCTGTTAATCTTGGTTTTCTTGAAATCCTAATGTGCATGTATAAGTAGATTCTAGTTTTTGAATGTGAACCTTTAATTTTTTTTTGTCAAATATGCAGGTATGTCTCAGCATTATAACTAGGAAGGATTCAGAGATCATTCTTAGCCCTACTAATAAGGAAGGACTTTTTGCATTGGAAAATACATGTGCCAGCACACCCTTCCCCTCCCTGCCCAACTGAAATGCTGTTGATATTTTGATGGTACTCTAGACAACAAAATGTATTTGAGAGAAGCTATTCTGGAGTCGGATGTTTGATCAGGAAGAATTCTTTCCCTGCATCGTAGGTACATCACTCAGCAGGGCAACAAACTGGAGACAGCTAAATCCCAAGTTCCAGCCACTGTCACCAACGCCGTCTCTTGGAGGTCGGAGGGGCTCAAATATAAGAAGAATGAGGTCTTCATTGATGTCATTGAATCGGTTAACCTGTTGGTGAGACAGACGTCAATTATTTGTGGTGGAAGATTATATAAATGAGTTTTTTAGAAGCTTCAACATGATTGTAACAGGTTCAGAAAGCTATTTTAATGTCTGTAAGGTACAAAAATAGTGAACTTTGAGTTTATGCCCTGAACATGGTGGCATATTTAAACGCTAAGGATACATACATTACACTTTTTCAAGAACCTCAACTATCTTTATTAAATAATGTAAAATTTAATATATATATATATATAAAAGTGAAATGTTATGTTATTTTATTAAGTTAGTAAAGCCAACATACTTGAAAAAAGTGTAGTTGGCATAGAATTTTATAAGAATGTCATACCTTAAGCATACTTTAACTGAGCAACTGAAAAACCTGGAAAATTAGTTCAAAGAATAACCCTATGAAAGATATGCTGAAGTTCAGCAGCTGAAAGCT